AGCCCCCCCCCCCCCCGCAAGGCTGAGTCTCCCCCAGGGCCCTCTCTGGGGCTCAGTTCCGTCACTGGTAAAATGAGGGACCGCAGGGAATTACTGCCGGGGGCCGATGAGTTAACCCGGGTGGAGTCCTTGGCGGGGAGGGCACCACGCGCTTGGAGGTGCCCCCAGTCACACGATTCTTGTTTGTCGTGACGTGTGCCCACTGCCCTGCTCTCTGGGTTCCAGGCTTCTCCAGGCGAGCCGCACAGTTGGTCCCGAACGCCTCTGGGTCCCAGCTTAGGGGCGTCGCACAGACACCAGTGCAGTGCCGTGCTGGGGACGATGGCAAGAAAGCGAGCAGGACAGGAGGGAGAACCCAGGCCCTGGTGACCAGCCTCCTGCTTTTGCCTAAAGTGACGTTGGGATTTTTTTTTAGCCGTGCCTTATTCATCGTTGTATCTTAGCCTCTAGTGCAGTGTTATATGTATATTCCTGCTCTCATTACTATTTCTAATTGACTCATAGCAACTGTACATATTTATGGGGTACAGTATGATATTGGTACACGTATGTAATATGCAATGGTCAAGTCATTACATATGACTTGACAGGGTAATTAGCATATTCAAGGTTGAGATTTTTCTGTCCCTACAAACATTTACAAAAACTTTTTTTGTCTTGGCCGGGCATGGTGGCTCACGCCTGTAACCCTAGCACTCTGGGAGGCCGAGGCGGGTGGATTGCGTGAGGTCAGGAGTTCGAAACCAGCCTGAGCAAGAGTGAGACCCCATCTCTACTATAAATAGAAAGAAATTAATTGGCCAACTAATATATATAGAAAAAATTAGCCGGGCATGGTGGCACATGCCTGTAGTCCCAGCTACTCGGGAGGCTGAGGCAGGAGGATCGCTTGAGCCCAGGAGATTGAGGTTGCTGTGAGCTAGGCTGACGCCATGGCACTCACTCTAGCCTGGGAAACAAAGCGAGACTCTGTCTCAAAAAAAAAAAAAAACTTCTTTGTCTAAGTGAGTCCATATTTTTATTTTCTGTTTGGCAATTTATTCAACCTCATTCTTTTTCATGACTGCATACTGTTCCACTGTGTGACTATCCAATCCCCGATGGATGGGCACATAGGTTATGTCCAGTTTTGCCCTCTGTCCTCAGGGCAGCAGAGGTCAGGCTGGCCTGCTACAGCGGGTGTCAGGATTGTGCAGGACAGGTGCAGGGAGGAGGCAGGCGGCGGTGGGAGGCTCCGTCCCTCTCAAGGAAAGGCAGTGAGGGCCCTGAAGAGCCAGGCTGGGTGCGGGAAATGGCCTCAGGAAAAGGAGCACCCTGGGGACCCAGCCCTCATCCCCGCAGGGAAGGAAGCCCTCGCCTGGCCAGGGGCCCAGAGATGTTGAGGCCTCAGGGCTGTGCGGGTCTCCAGCCTCCCTTGGGGGCGTCGGTGAGTGAGGTCTGTGTTCCAAAGGCGCAGGGCGGGTCAGCAGCCAGCCTCCTCTTCCCCTTCCTCCTCCTCCTCCCCAGCTGCCTCGTGAGCCTGGCGGACCTGAAGCTCACGTCCACAGAGGAGCCTCGTCAGCAGCGGGGAGGGGGCCCCAGGGCTCGGCGGCAAGGCAGGCCTGTGTCCCTGATTTTGTTGTTTGTGCATCTGAGGAAACATTCTCAGCGTGCCTGCTGGCATCAGGTGTCCCTGCATTCACTTACAGCTCCGTCAACCCAAGCTCCATCTCCTTGGAGCCTCAGTTTTCCAATCTGTAAAACAGGGATAATGCTGGCACCCACCTCACAGACGGTCGTGAGGACCGGGCGATGGAGCCCACGCAGAGCCTTCAGCAAGTTTCCACAAACACCACGGGGTCTCAGCGAAGGCTCATTGTCTTCATTGTTATCACTGTTCCTAATAATGACATTTTTAAATTTCTGGAAATAAAAGACCTTCTGAGTTGAGTGTCAAAACCAAGAAAATGTCTGTGGTGCTGTGTGCGTCTGCGTGTGTGTGTATGTGTGTGTGTGTCCGTGGTGGGGTGTGTGTGTGTCCGTGTGTGTGTTTCTGGTGGAGGTGTGTGTGTGTGTGTGTCCGTGGTGGGGTGTGTGTGTGTCC